TCCGAGACCTCGGGCCCCGAGGCGCTCGAGCCCGAGACTTCGCCCCCCGCTCGCCGCCGAAAGAGCAGGACCCGCAGCGCGGGCCTTCGCGCGAGCGACGAGCATCCCGAGGCCGGAAGACCGCCGGGAAGCGACGAGGGCGTCCGAGGACCTCGGGCCCCGAGGCCTCGAGCCCGAGACTTCGCCCCCCGCTCGCCGGCGAAAGCAGGACCCGCAGCGCGGGCCTTCGCGCGAGTGACGAGCATCCCGAGGCCGGAAGACCGCCGGGAAGCGACGAGGGCGTCCGAGGACCTCGGGCCCCGAGGCCTCGAGCCCGAGACTTCGCCCCCGCTCGCCGCCGAAAGCAGGACCCGCAGCGCGGGCCTTCGCGCGAGCGACGAGCATCCCGAGGCCGGAAGACCGCCGGGAAGCGACGAGGGCGTCCGAGGACCTCGGGCCCCGAGGCCTCGAGCCCGAGGCTTCGCCCCCCGCTCGCCGCCGAAAGAGCAGGACCCGCAGCGCGGGCCTTCGCGCGAGCGACGAGCCTCCCGAGGCCGGAAGACCGCCGGGAAGCGACGAGGGCGCCCGAGGACCTCGGGCCCCGAGGCCTCGAGCCCGAGACTTCGCCCCCCGCTCGCCGCCGAAAGAGCAGGACCCGCAGCGCCTGCCTTCCGCGCGAGCGACGAGCATCCCAGTCCGGAAGACCGCCGGGAAGCGACGAGGGCTCCGAGGAACTCGGGCCCGAGGCCTCGAGCCCGAGACTTCGCCCCCCGCTCGCCGCCGAAAGCAGGACCCGCAGCGCGGGCCTTCGCGCGAGCGACGAGCATCCCGAGGCCGGAAGACCGCCGGGAAGCGACGAGGGCGTCCGAGGACCTCGGGCCCCGAGGCCTCGAGCCCGAGACTTCGCCCCCCGCTCGCCGCCGAAAGCAGGACCCGCAGCGCGGGCCTTCGCGCGAGCGACGAGCATCCCGAGGCCGGAAGACCGCCGGGAAGCGACGAGGGCGTCCGAGGACCTCGGGCCCCGAGGCCTCGAGCCCGAGACTTCGCCCCCCGCTCGCCGCCGAAAGCAGGACCCGCACCGCGGGCCTTCGCGCGAGCGACGAGCCTCCCGAGGCCGGAAGACCGCCGGGAAGCGACGAGGGCGCCCGAGGACCTCGGGCCCCGAGGCCTCGAGCCCGAGACTTCGCCCCCCGCTCGCCGCCGAAAGCAGGACCCGCAGCGCGGGCCTTCGCGCGAGCGACGAGCATCCCGAGGCCGGAAGACCGCCGGGAAGCGACGAGGGCGTCCGAGGACCTCGTCGGGCCCCGAGGCCTCGAGCCCGAGACTTCGCCCCCCGCTCGCCACCGAAAGCAGGACCCGCACCGCGGGCCTTCGCGCGAGCGACGAGCCTCCCGAGGCCGGAAGACCGCCGGGAAGCGACGAGGGCGTCCGAGGACCTCGGGCCCCGAGGCCTCGAGCCCGAGACTTCGCCCCCCGCTCGCCGCCGAAAGCAGGACCCGCAGCGCGGGCCTTCGCGCGAGCGACGAGCCTCCCGAGGCCGGAAGACCGCCGGGAAGCGACGAGGGCGTCCGAGGACCTCGGGCCCCGAGGCCTCGAGCCCGAGACTTCGCCCCCCGCTCGCCGCCGAAAGGGCAGGAGCCGCCGCGCGGGCCTTCGCGCGCGGGCGGCCCACCTATCGCGCGCGAGGGGGCCCGCGCGCGCCCCGCGCGCCGCGCCCTCTCTCCGAGAGGCGCGCGCGCGCCGCCTCCGCGCGCGCGCGCCTGCCCTGAGGCGCGCAAGGGGGTCGCCGTGGCCCAGCGTGCCGCCGTCGGGCGGGACGGATCGATCGAATATTCGAACCCTCACACATTCGAGGGAGATTCCAAATCACCCCCGCGCCCCCGACGTCGACGTCGATCTCAGTTGAGGCGGTGCTTGGGGGTTCGAATGTTTCTGTCCACTCACGCCCCCCCCCGTCGCCACGCCGTCAATATTAATTTCGGGGGGTCGGGGGGGCATCTGGGGCCACAGGGTTCGAATGTAATGTCCATGTACGGTAGGTCGGTGGTTTTAGTCGGGGCCCCCAACGGGTCCAGTGGTTTAGTCGACGCCGTCGGGCGGGACGGGTCGGTGGTTTAGTCGGGGCCCCCCAACGGGATGGTGACCACACCGTGCCGCCGTCGGGCGGGGCGGATCGATCGAGCTAGGTTTACGTCGGGCCTGTCCCCCATACAGGGGGATTTTCGACGAGAAATAAAAAACAAGTTGACTATTTTTGGGACTATTTGTTGGATTATGTTTTGATTAGGTTTGCGGTATTTCTTATTTTTCGTCGAAAATCCCTCTGTAGGGGGACAGGCCCGACATAAAGCTAGGTCGGTGGTTTAGTCGGGGCCCCACAACGGGGTTTAAGTCGGGCCTGTCCCCCTGCAGGGGTATTTTCGACGGAAAAATCGAAAAGTACCCCCAAAATAATCAAAAAATAATCCAACAATAGTTTGGGGATCATTTTTTGAGTATTTGTTGACCATTTTCTAGTTTTATATATATATATATATATATATATAAAATCCGTCGAGAACCCCCCTGCAGGGGGACAGGCCCGACATAAAGCTAGGTCGGTGGTTTAGTCGGGGCCCCCCAGCGGGGTGGTGACCACACCGTGTGGTGAGTCGGCGGGGAATCATGGGTCACCGCACGGTCGTGGGATGTGGACCGTTCTCCGAGGGCGTCTCGGGCGACGGGGGCCTCCAGGGCCCCAAGGCCGCGTGGTGACGGACCCTGCGGTGAGGTCTTCGCGGATTCCGAGGTCACCGCCGGATCCGCCACCACTCGGTGCTCGGGGCCCCCGATTCAGAGATGGGGGTCCTGAGGGGTGGGGTCCTGAGGACGGGAAGGGATCCAAGGGTGGATTCACACTGTTTGAGGCACCTCGTCCTCAGGACCCCATCCCTCAGGACCCCATCGCCGATCGGTCAAGAGCTTCCTCGTCGCCGCCGCCGGCGGGGCCGCCGCCCGCCGCTATGGCACGGCCCGTCCGCCCGCGGGTCGTCGGGGGCTGGGGCGAGGGCGGAGCAGAGGAGCCTCCCGTCGGCCGCCGCCGCCGTTGCCGCGTCCTCTACGGCCATGTTCCTCAGGCAGTGGCAAAGCGTCCTGGCTTGCCCATAGGTCCACCAAAGAATGGTTGAATTAACCTCTTGTGGTTCGCACGAAGTGCTCTCAGAACCTTTCTGGCTGGGACCGTCTTGTTTTGATACATCGGCTTCATGTCCTAAGAACATTGTCTTGATTATTGAACCACTCACGGGTTCTATCCATGATAGGCCCATACGAATGCCGGGTATGTCGGTCCCTGCTCGAACGTGAGAGTGACCTTTACCCTTGGTGCGGGCACACTGGGGGTCCCAGATGATTCAACGCGGTGCGATAGCAGCGTCTCGTTCGCTTTGGTCTGGACCCCTCGCGGTCCCCCTAAAGCCGCGCACCACAGGTGTTTCTTGCCCAGGGTCACTCCTGCGATTTGTCGATCGAGCTAGGGCTCCCACGTGCTCCCCAGAGGTCCTCCACAACGGCTGGGGGGAACATACCCAGAGATCCGATGCTCCGAACAATTGGTGCGGTCGGTTTTTGGCGGTTTTCAGCCTCTGCGGGCCATCGTTGGGCCCAGGGACCGTCAGAAAACGACCTAGGACGAGAAACCAGCCCTAGGGAAGTGGTTCAGGCCTCCGGGGCCCACGCATCGAAAACATCGGAGCGGCCGGATGTCTGGGGTCATCCGAAGGTGGGGGCTTGGGGAACATACAGTAGGTTCATGCGGCGTTGGCGCGCTGGTTGCGCCGGCGAAGGCGTTCGAAGCTGAATTCTGCGACGCCGATGCTTTGAGTGACAAGGTGACGCCATTGGACCCGACGGAATTCAAACTTAAACGATCGAGGCCGCGATCGGTCCAAGGTTGAATGATCGACGCGGTATCGAAAACCTTTGCACGCGCCGACGCCGCGGGAGCCTACCGTAGCGTGGCCAAACTTGACCTTAAAGTTTGGCCAAATATGCGCATCCTAAAAGGCAGCGGGCGGCGGTGATTCGCCGTAGGTGTCTTCGATCAAGGATCGAGGTGCGAGGCGCAGCAAGGAGGTGCACGTTCGAGGTGCTAGGTTCGATACGGTTTTTCGCCGTTTCCGGTCTCAGGGAGCCGTTTTCGTGCTCCAGGACCGTCAAACCACGAATTGGGGTGACACATTGCAGCAGATGTATTTCAGGAGGGGTCCAGGGACCGATTCTGAGCCTCCCGGCTGGGGTCTGAGTAGGCGGGGTCGGGGCATCGCACCGCATCGCCGATACATCGGCGATGCATCAGCGAGGCGTCTCGATATGGACCCCGCCTTTTTGCACGTCGACATCGCCGATGCATCACTGTCGGTGATGCGGCGCGATCCTCCGACCCTATCTACTCTTAAGTCGCGCATGCGTCCCTACAGGAGGAATATTCAAGAATTGTAAAAAGTAGTCCAGTGACGATTTGTCGTGCTCTTCTGACTTCTGATGTTTAAACTATTTATACTGTTCTTCCAACGTCCGCCTGTGGAAGGACATGCCCGACATAAATCTACTAGGACCCCGTTCGGGAGGCCCCTAACGAAAGACACCAGCCAGCTACGCGTGACCTTTCGCCGGAGTGCAGAGGTGGCCTCTCGCCGGAGTGCGTTGGACGCCTTCGGACTTTTGCTCGTCGGCTCGCAGTGGCTCTCCCACCTCGGGACGCTTTCCAGCAGCCGTGCCTCGTCGACAACGTTCCCAGACCCCGACGTCATGACCCCAGAGGTCTCGACCCACTCCCCGGGACCGGCTTCGCGTCCTGCATCGTTTTCTCACGGCTCCGAGGCCTGGCGAAGGCCGCCAGAGGCTCCAGAGGCCTGAAATCCCCCCCCCAAAAAAAACACGCCGCAATATGTTTGGTTCCTTGCCCGGGGGGGTCCGAGCGCCTCGCGCCTCCCCGCTGGCGACCAGCGATGCCGCCGACGACGACCGCCGCCGCCCGGCAGGTGGTCGGCACGCCCCCCCGCACCCGGGCGCAGCCCAGCCCCCCGGCGCAGCCGAGCCAGTCGCGCTCCCCGGCGCCTTCCGTCCAGGCCCTGTCGCCGGCGCCGCCTCCCGCAGGTGCTTCGGGGGCGGGGGGGGGAGGGAGGGAGGGAGGCCCCCTCCTCCTCCTCATCCTTCGTCCTCCTCCTCCTCCTCCTCCTCCGTCCTCCTCCTCCTCCTCCTCCTCCTCCTCCTCCTCCGCCTTCTCCTCCTCCTCCTCCTCCTCCACCTGGAGGGTGACGATCTGAAGAGTGAGGAGAGACAGGGAGGAGGATCGAGGAGGGAGAGGAAAAAGGAGGGGCAGGAGGAGGATCGAGGAGTGAGGGAGAAGGTCGAGGACGGAGATCTTCTGGCGCAGGAGGATGGAAGAAGAGGATCGATGGGTCGGTCAAACGATAGGCTCAAGGACGGTTTTCGAAGGCTTCAGTCGGTTCCTGTAGAGGTGTCCTTGCCTCGGAATGCGTCTCAGCAGCTGCGCCTCGCCGAGAGGCGGCTGGAGCTGTCCGGATCGTCCCGCACGGCTGCGGGAGGCCCGAGTTGTCAACGGAAAGCCAGACGACGAGGATCAATGGGGGGGACAGTCTCAATTCGGGGTGGGGGCATCGACCCCATGCAGGCCGGATTTTGTCCCTTCCCCTGAGCTGGATTCCCTGGTCGTTTTGACCCTCACGAGGGGGAGGACCGACCCAGTCCAGAGATCCGCCGTATTGATTTTGTCCACATACGGGGTCCCAGGATTCCTAGCCTTTTCCCGAGGGCCGGCCATGTATCCCGAGGAGTTTTGTGACGGTCCTGAGGCCCAGCGAGGGCCCAGCGCGGCCAGATATTGCCAACAAAAGCAAGTGAGATCTTCCATGGTTTGGGGGGAATGGGTGGAGAGATCCAGGACCGAGATGTCCCGGCGCCTTCCCAAGCATCTGGCGTCTCGATTTGTTCGAGACATGGGCCCGACCATTTCCGCGGGACCGGTTCTTCATCCCGAGTTGTTTCTTGACGGCCCCAAGACCTGGTAAGGGCCCCGAGAGGCCGAAGACAATGACAAACCTCCGTCCCGATTTCGTTCAAGACGCCAGCTGTCTGGCATGGTGCCCGGCCACTCAACCGGGGTCCCCCTGGCAAGTTCCGCAGCCCGCGCCCGCGCCGGCCGCTCAGCTGCCGAAGTCTGCACCCGTGGCCGCTCCTCTGCGGACGTCGCCCCGCAACGCCGCCGCCGACGACGGCGGCATCCCGATCCTCTGCCGGTCCCTGGTGCTGCCGAACCTGGAGTCGTGCTTCAACATCTCCATGGAGGCACCCCTGCTGCTCCCCGGAGGAGAAACAGAGTCATCGGCATGCGCGCTGGGCGCCACACGCCATCCACGGCTCAGCCCACAGGCGCCAGGGTCCGGAGCCTGTCCGGGCATCCCTTCCCCGCGGAGCGGATCGAGACGCTACCCGCTTGCAGGGTCACAAGTCGCGTATCGCCGGGGGTGTCAGGGTGGCATGCAGAGAAAAAGTTCAAGACGGAGCTGGGAGCGTCGCCGGCGACGGTCGCGCGCGCGACAGGAAAGAAAACGCAGTTTCTGTTCCGCTGCGGGCCCCGTTCCCGCTCATCTAAATATGCCCCCCATTAATGTGAGTCGTGCTTCAGCATCTCCATGGAGACACTCCACCCGCTGTTCCTCCTCCACCCGCAGGGGTAATAGTTAGGCTGAATGAGGGTTTTCGGATGTGTGTGCGTGTGTGTGTCTGTCGGTTCCCGCAGGTTTCCCTGCCTCCAGATGCGTCTCATCAGCTGCGCCTCGCCGAGAGGCGTCTGGAGGTATCCCGATCATCCCGAATGGCCACCACAGATCCGAGTTATGAACAGTCCCAGGTCCTGCCAAACTTGGAGTCGTTCTTCAAATCTCCGTTGAGGCAATCCTCCTTGGGAAACCAAAAAACGGAATAATCATATGTTTTTTTATGGGGTGCGCCCAGATTTCTTTGATCTTGTCGTCCTTCTCCTCCCTCCTCCTCTATCCTCCTCTTGCCTGCCTCCTCCTCCCTCCTCCCTCCCTCTCTCCTCTTACCATTTATCTTCCCGCCTTCTCCCTCATCAATCTTCCTCCCTCCCTCCTCTCCCTCGTCTCCCTCCCCCTGCCCCTCATATCACCACGTGTTATCTCATGCATGTGTATTCGAGTATACATCTATATGTATGCATATGTGTATACATACGTGTGTATTCGAGTATGCATCTATATGTAGGCATATGTGTATACATACGTGTGTGTGTGTGTGTTACTCGTATACGTTCATGTATTGTCGTTTCCACTCTGCTGCCTGGCCAGCCGATAGCAAGTGGATCCAGGACCTTCCGTCCTGCGCGTCAGAACCATCGAATGCCGATGCATGTGTTGTGAACATGGGCGTTTTGCCGTCGACGTTGCAAAATGAGCGGCGGGACTAGGCCGCGCAGCACATCGCGCGCAAAGCGAAGCCGCGCGCGAGTGGGCTGAACGGTGCTCTCCCCGAAGCGCCACGCGGGGACCTCTCGAGGATCCCGTGCCTTCCTACAGTCGAGTTCGGTTTTTAGACCGACCCTCGCAAATCAAGGTTGTCCCTTGTGCCTTGTGTTTTGCGCCCTACGCCCTCTGCATTCCTGGGGCAACGTGGCCCTCGGAAGGGTATCGGGTCCTCTCGCGTATCCTCACCGATCAAACTCGACTGCATGCGCAGCCGATGCCGGGAGTTCACCAGAGCGTCGGAATTGTGGCGGCGCGCGCGAGCGCCCTCCCCTGCGCGCGAGCTCCAAATAGTCAAGTTGCACCAGCACTGATTATTGTGTCATGGGAGTCGAACGACAAGAATTGCATGAGCATATGCGAAACTGCTCAAGCATGTCTTCTCTGGTGTAACCGAAGGGCTGTGCCGAGGCCGATGTGTACGATGCACGTTCGACCCGCCTACTGACATAGAGCCGACGGTCTGCTAAAAGAACTCCTGGCATCCGTCATTCAAAATGCGAAGCGAAGCGACCTCGCCTCAGCAAGGATGTCGACGGAGCCGCGCCGGAGGCCCTCCGCGCGGGTCTCCTGGATCGGCGCTGGAGGCCCTTGGCAGCTCCTCCGGCGCCGCCCCCGGCACGCCCTGACCGCCAGGGAAGAGGGTTCAGCGCCGATGCAAGGAATCCGCGCGGACCCCCGAGACGTCACAGCCTGGGCGCTGAAGGAGGAGCCCTCTTTTCGTTGGTGCGGGGCTCGGTGTTCCGTGATCGTTTTGCAGTTTGCCTTCGGTCTTCCTCGGGCTTTCCATGGGGAGTCGAAGTTTGACTCGTGGGAGGAAAAAAAGGGGGCCTCGTTCCTCATGAGGTCTTTGGGTCCACGCCCCGACGGTAGGCAGGGTGGGAGTGGGTGGGGCCCTCTGACTCGCGCGAGCTGGCCGGGCCCGTCTCGCGCTCCCGCTCCCGCTCCCTCCCTTGTCTTGTGGGAGGGGGCGGAGGCGTGCTTTTGCCGCCCTTTGTTTCCTGCCACGCCGAGAGCCAGGCCCTGGGGAGGCGGAAAGGTATACCGATGCCGCTGCCCTTATGTCGGGCCTGTCCCCCTACAGGGGGATTTTCGATGAAAAACAAAAGATAGCCCAAAAATGATCCAAAAATAGTCCAGGGACTATTTTTTGAGTATGTTTGGACCTTTCTGGTGTATTTGTTGGGGTATCTTTTTATTTTTCGTCGGAAATCCTCCTGCAGGGGGACACGCCCGACATGACGCTACCCCCGTGGCCTCTCCCGGGCTGCGCTCCGACCAGAACCTCGGGGCGGAGCCGACGGCGACGACGCGGGAGGCCCACAGGAGGGCCCCCAAAGGGGAAAGACAGCGGGGCGAGGGGCATCGGCAATTGGGTATACCTCTTCCTCCGCCGAGGCCCCCCCCCCCCCCGCCCAGAAGGAGGAAGGCCGAGCAGGCCCGGGCCAGGCCGGGAGGCACTGCCCGCGCGGAGGAGGCACCCTCCGAGCACTGGGCGGGCGCGCCACAGCAGCCCTGTGCCCGCCGGCGGCGCGACGCGCGGAGGGCCTCTGCGGGCGCGGGCGGAAGCACCGGGAGTGCTTGCGATCGTGTTCTCCCCCTCCTCCTCCTCCTCCTCCTCCTCCTCCTCCTCCTCCTCCTCCTCCTCCTCCTCCTCCTCCTCCTATTCCTCCTCCTCCTATTTCTCCTCCTCCTCCTCCTCCTCCTCCTCCTCCTCCTCCTCCCCTCATCCTCCTCCTCCTCATCCTCCTCCTCCTGTTTTGCCGGTCGGCGCGGGCTTTCGCCCCCCCCCCCCATTCAAGCAGCGGCGAAGCGTCCGGGCTCGCCTGTAGCCCTACCAAGCAATGTTATGAGAGCCTTTTTGTGATGTCCACGAGATGATCTCAGAACATTTCTGGCTGGGGCTGTCTTGTTTTAGCACAAGGCTGAAGTTCTAAGAACCTTGCTTTTGTTCTTGGAACATTTTTCGGTTCTGAGAATATTTCTTGGTAGGACTATAGAAATGCCGGGACGGTCGGTCCCTGCTCAACCCCCCTCCCCCCGCTCATGGAATAGATCCTTGCTGTTTTGGGCGCCCGTGTCAGGCAGGCGGGGCCTCTCCCCCTCAGGACGCACTGTTGCAGACAGTGGCATTCAGCAGAGGTCCGGAGCCAGACCCCCCCCTTCCACCCCCCCCTTCCGCCCAATACCGAAACGCCGAGTAAGAACACGCTCGCTTTGCTCTCGGGGCAAGAGTTCTGTGAACGCCAGGGGTAGGTAGCCAGGCGGGGCCAGGACGAGGCTAGATCCACTCCAGGGCGTTCCAGAACGCTCTGAGAAGGCCGCGGAGCCGCCGGATCTCAGAGATTCTCGACCTATCCTCACCGGAATATGTCCTCGTCCTGGCTTCGTCTTAGTGATGGGAGGGAGCGACTGGCGTGCTTACCTCTCTGGCGTTGAAAGTATGTTTTTTTCCGAATCCCAGATCCTACCCCTCTTCAGGCGATTTACTACTCCAAGGATTGAGTGTTTTTCGATTGTCATTTCTCTTCAGGGAGCTGGCGAAAACACAATACATGTTCAACGCCTTTCTACCTCATGCTTTTGCCCACTTCTTCCGACCGATGTGTAGCTGCACGCGGGCTTCGGCGGCCACGAGGTCGGCAAGCCGCGTGCAGTCTGTTTGGCCAGGCCGGGGACCGCCAAACTTTCTCTAGACACCTGGCTCTCAGCAGGGCAGGAAAGTACCCGTGGAGGCTCTGTCCAGCCGACGCTCTGGCAACATAACGATCAAGGGCGCGTCCGCGAGAGCGCTGCTCGAGTCCTCCATCGAGGAGCGGCAGGTGGACTTATCGAATCTGTTGCCATACGCGCATGGAGCTGTGCACGTGCATGCGTGCGCCACGAGCGCGTGCGGCTTGCATGATATGCGTGGAGGCTTCGGGGGGAAGGGCGCGGTTCTCGGTGTGCAGCAGTCTCGCGTCCGAGTGGCGGAATGTGCACCCACGGGTATGTCAGCAGTGTCAACTGACACATCAGATGCGATAGTTTTGCCCGCTGCTTCGATTTCGCCCTACGCGTACATGGGCATAGATGGCTAGTTACCTCGATGGTTTCCCGCATGGATCCAAAAGAGTGGGTTCTTGCATTCTCGATGTGCGCTGGATGTGGTTCAACTCAGGAGGTGCAATCTATTTTCTGCAGACGTGGCACAAAATATCGTATGCACTATGTGCTGTGAAACCTACGTAGTCACAGCTATGTGGTGCCAGTTGTGGGGTGCAACATGTGCGGTGCAAGATTCTGAATGCAATCTATGTGGTTGAAGCTATCTGGCGCAATCTGTGTAGAACAATCACTGCAGTGCAGCTCTTCCGTGGAAATGGCAGCCGTCAACTCCAACGCTCGTGTCAACATTCCACCCTTCCACTCGCAACGTGTTGGCAAAGCTCATGTGGCCATGATTTCAACGAGCGCACGGGCGCGTGGAGCTTAATTGCGCAGACAAACCTGACCTGCAGGTCGCGAGCTCGTGGTGGTGATGGTGACGACCGCGACGCCAACGACGATGGATAACGCGCACGCCATTGGTAGTGACAGTGGAGATGAGGACGATACGATGTCGACGGCGACGATGGTGACGGTGATGAAGCTGATGGTGGTGGCAATGACGGTGGCAACGATGATGCTGGCGAAGGTGATGACAATGGTGTCGGTGATGATGGTGAGGATGATGGTCAAGTGCCCGCGCGCATTTCTTTGACGAGGGCGACGGCCGGGGCTGATGCCGACGATGGTGATGAGGATGATGACGATGGCAATGATGGCGCTGACGGTGATAATAACTATTGCACTGGTGAGTATGATGAAGTGCGCGCACGCACAACTTCGGACACCATGGCATGCTCTCATGGATGGAAGCCATTCAGTAGCAGGGTCCCCATGGCGGCGCCGCCCCATATTGGCGCACCCCCCGCACGCTTCGTTGCCCCATAGGAAAGTCCGCCGAAGTCCCCATTGGCAGGGTCCACATGGCGGCGCCGCCCCATTTTGGCACACCCCTCACACGCTTCGTGGCCCCATAGGGAGCTCCACCGAAGGCCCCCTATAGCAGGGTTCTCATTGCGGCGCCGCCCCATTTTGGTGCACCTCTCACACGGTTCGTGGCCCTATGAGGAGCTCCACCGAAGGCCACCGTGTCAGTATCCACATGGCGGCGTCGCCCCATCTTGGCGCACCTCTCACACTGTTCGCGGCCCTATGAGGAGCTCCACCGAAGGCCCTAGTGGCAGGGTCCACATGGCGGCGTCGCCCCATCTTGGCGCACCCCTCACGCGGCTCGCGGCCTCATAGGGAGTTCCAACGAAGGCCCCAGTAGCAGGGTTCTCATGGCGGCGCCGCCCCATGTTGGTGCACCCGCATCACGGTTCGTGGCCCCATAGGAAGCTCCACCGAAGGCCCCAGTGGCAGGATCCACATGGCGGCGTCGCCCCATCTTGGCACACCCCTCACACGGTTCGCGGCCCTATGAGGAGCTCCACCGAAGGCCCCAGTGGCAGGGTCCACATGGCGGCGTCGCCCCATGTTGGCGCACCCCTCACACGGCTCGTGGCCCCATAGGGAGTTCCAGCGAAGGCCGTGGCAGGGTCCACATGGCGGCGCCGCTCCCATTTTGGCGCACCCATTGCACGGTTCGTGGCCCAATAGGGTGCTGTCCGAAGGCCCAAATGCTAGCGTTCGCATGCGGCCACCGCACCCATGTTGGCACACCCCTCACACGTTTCTTGGCTTCATAGGGAGCCCCACCGAAGGCCCAAATGCCAGCGTTCGCATGCGCCCACCGCAGCCCCACCGAAGGCCCAATTGCCAGCGTTCGCATGCGCCGGCCGCACCCATTTTTGGCACACCCGCACACGTTTGGTAGCCCCACAGGGAGCTCCACCGAAGGCCCAAATGCCAGCGTTCGCACGCGGCCACCGCACCCATTTTGGCACACCC